ATGGATGGATGGATGGATGGATGGATGGATGGATGGATGGATGGATGGATAGTAGGGGTTGGGAATGCCCTGGTCAGGGAGATGGAGTCAATAGGGCACTCTATCTTTTGAGTGTAATTAGATGGTCCCTGATCAGTAAGTTTCTTTGAGAATAGTGTTCTCAATCCATTTGCCTCATCTTAGTGATTGGAAAACAGTAGGGCTTATCCAAATGCTTAGCTTGGGGTAGGGCCGTAATGGTAACCCCTAACTCTTAGCACTGACCTGAACTTGGTTTCTGGGCCCAGTGTCAGCCAAGCTCTTCAGTTAGGGCCTGAAGTATATACTCTTGAGAACTCCCTGCTCAAGATGATTCTGAAGGATGACCTTAGCACCTTTCTCAGCCTGAGTGTAGAGAGGACCCCTTGTGTAGAATTTGCCTGCCTCTCTCACAAGCCAGCCCTTTCCCAGGCCTAGGTTACTCACCCACCTCAGCCAGGACTCCTCCTTTCTCCCTTTATTTTCCTTCACATCATAGTCCCTTTAAGCAGAACAGTCATCCCTAAGCCCCCAGGGCTTCTTAAGCTATGGGAGGAGGAAAGGGGCCCCCACACAACCCTTCCCTGAGGGTCGTCTTCAGAAGGTGTAGGCTCCCACAAAGACGGTGAGTCTCAGTACGGAGCTGGCCCGGTAGCTCATCAGGGAGTTCATGGTGACCATCTCGAGGTCCAGCACGTACTCCCGGGGTCCTGTCACTGGCCTGGCAAGGACCAGCATGGCACTGACATTGTTGATTTGCTGCAGGGCACAGTGGACAGCAGAACATAGAGATGGTGTTAGCCTGTAAGGCAAGACTCAACTCTAGCATCACCCCCTCCTGTGGCCTGAGGTCGGGGAAGTCTGATAAGGCTGCTGTTCAAGCCCTTCCCCAGCTCTGACCTGTAGACATTTCTCTTCCTCAGTATCTGAGTCCCTGCCACTGGCTCTCCCCGTCAGCTCCTTCCCGACCCTATCCACCTTAGGTTTCCCTCCATCGTGACTACCTGATGACTCAAGTTTTGGGGATGATGGACCTTTGGTGACCAAGAGCCATCCCATTTCCCCCTCCAAAGTATTCAGTTCTCTGTCATTTCTTTAATGCTGGGGGAAAACTGAGGGCCTACTGAACGGAGCACACGTTCTGCCATGGACCTGTGATGGCAGCCCCAAAGCAACTTTGAAAGAAGTTTTGATGACAAATCTCTCAATGCTGAAGGCAGCATCAGGACCCATGTTCAAGGCCCCTCACACCTGCGGCAGCATCCCTGTCTTCCCCTTGCCAGCAGACTGGAGTCTATGATCCTACCCCTGCAGGAACTACATTTCTTGTTTTATGGATAAGGAAGTCAAAGGCAGACAGGAGAAAGCAGTACTGGGACTCAAACTCCACTAACCAACTGCTCCTTAGAACTGCCTGTAGCATGTTCACTAGGAATGCGGGATTCTGACATGACCCCTGTTCCTAGGACAGGGCTTTGAGAGAAGAGGCAGGGCAGCTCCCACTTAAACAACTTCAAGCATTCTATTTTAGATTACTCGAGTCAGTTGGGTGTGAGTAGGAAAGCACCTTACCCTAATGTAGAAGTCCCCCTGTGTGTTTCCAGCACGGATCTGAAAGGCATTGTAGGCGCCAGGGTAGACAGAGGTGGCCTGGATCTGGAACACGTCAGCAGGCACACTTCGCTCTGAGGTGATGCTCATGTAACGGTGCACAATCGATGAAGGTTGCTCTCGACAAAGCAGGTTGGAGGCAGGACAGAGACAGCGGCTAGAGACCCCAAGACAGGACAGGAATGAGGGCTGGGCCCATTTCCCAAATACCCACCTCCTAAAGAAGAAAACCCAAGTATTTAAGACTATAACTCCCATAAAACATCACGGCTACTCACCAGCCTGATTAAACCAGTTAGCCCCACAGACCTCTGGGAATTTTAGTTACCTCAGCACACTGCCATCAGGTTGACTCACTTGTCTGACACTTGGACATAGGGCTCCACACAACGGTTGGTGTCCACACAGCGATAACCCCCATGGAAGTTGACACAGGTTTGGGCCTCAGAACATTGGTGTGCACCTGTGTCACACTCGTCAATGTCTGTGCCAAGGGAAGTGGAGTCGGACTCTAGGACTGACAGTAAGCTACCAGCCTCTCAACTCTGCCCACCCAAGCACCTGTACCTTGGCACAGCCTTGTGGCCAGCAGTTGGTAACCTTGTGGGCAGTGACAGGAGAAACGGCCTGGCTCATTGACACAGCGGTACTGGCAGAGGTAACTGGAGTAGCTGCACTCATCGATATCTGAGGGAGGGTGGGGATGAGGAGCCTGGGCCAAGAGTAGTCCTCACAACCGAGTCCCACAGACCTTTACCACAGCCCAGCCCCCACCCCCAATAAGGCTGGATGTGGGAAGAAAGAAGGAATGAAGGAAACCCATAATGCTCAAAAGGGCGACTGAAGGTTTCGGAGGAAGATTTTGAGGGGCTGGGGATATAACTCAGTGGTAGAGTACTTGCCTAACACGCTTGAAGCTCTAGGTTCCATCCCAGCAAGGAAAGGGAGAGGGAAAAGAAAAGAAAAAGAACAGAAAGGTTTGAAGCTTGGCATGGTGCTATATGTCTATAATCCCAGCATTTGGGAGGTAGAGGCAGGAGAATTATACCAAGTTCAAGGCCAGCCTGGTCCACATAGGGAGCCCAGCCAGGGCTACATAACAAGACAGTGCCTTGAAAAGCAAATAGCGGGGTGTTTGATCACAATCTCTAGGAGGCAGAGGCAGAAGCAAGCAGATCAGTTTGAGGCAGCCTGGTCTACATAAGAGACTCCAGGCCAGCCAGGGCTACACAGTGAGACCCTGTCTCAAAATAACAACGGACCTTCCAGCATACAGAGCACCTCTCTTCCCTAAGACTTAAAGAATACTTAACAAAGCCTAACATGGTGGTCTGTGCCTTTGATTCTAGCACTATTGAACTCTGTAGGCTACACAGCCAGGGTTACATAGACTCTGTCTTAAAAAGCAACAGGAATCTAGAGGCTTGGGCATAAGTCCTACTAACTAGTTTTAGAAAGGGTCCACGTTGTGCCAGTCAAATGAGTAGGTTAGACTAGAGGTGTCCTAAGGGGCTAACCTTCCCTGTCTGCTCTTCTCAGGTCTTGCCACCTGCAGTCAGAACACCCAGACTTTGGCTGACTGTGTGTTCCACATGCAGAATCCTATCTCTTTGCCTTTGTTCCCTTCATACGGCTGAACACTAGTGACACTGTGCTTCACAGTAGAGCATAAAATAAATGAGGGCATGCCCAGTAAGGTGAGACACTTGGGATCAAGCCCTAGTCCCATCTCGTCTTTCCCATCTGTAAGTGCAAAGATGAAAGTCACTACTTTCTCTGAACTTTCTGCTTGCTTTCTACAGTTCTGCCAACACACCTGGAGGAATATTCATGTCCTGTTTACAAAATAAACCATGAGACTGAATATTTAAGTTATAAACAAATGGTGCTTCCTACTTTTTCTGCCTGAGACTTGACAAAGCCTATTATCACTGTCCCTAAAACTCCATATAACCCATTCACAGTAGTAATGTGCCCAGAAAGAAGAGAGACTTTTCCTAGTGTAGGATTCCTATGCAAGTCAACTCAACTTTCAGGAAGACTGGCACCTCCATCCCTCTCTGTCTCTCCAGCGAGTTTCAGAAGCACCTAACATACCATCCCCCCAAGCTGGGAGTGCCAAACAACCTGCTCAAGGAGGAGTTCATGGAGGCCTGTGGGTGCAGAGAACGAGACATGGAAGCCTCAAACAAATGACTATGTGACTGGAGTTGGTCCAAAGCGTTGCCAGTGCTGGCGACCAAGGCAGTATCCAACAGCACAAGTGGATTCTCACCACTGCAGGAGAAGCCATCACGGTGCAGCTCGTAGCCCTGGTTACAGCGGCACAGGAAGGTCCCATAGGAGTTGAAGCAGCGCTGCTCACACGGGGCTCCCATGTCACACTCATTCACATCTAAGGGTGCCAGGACAAACAGGAGTGGTGAGAGCCCGCTCGGCTCAGGCAGGAGATCCTGCCCTCACCTCACACACCTCTACCCAGGACCCCAGAACCTTGTCTGGCACAGCCTCACCTACACAAGAGCGGTTGTTAGGTCCCAACTGGAAGCCTGGCTCACACTGGCATCGAAAAGAGCCTGGCAGGTTCACACATCGGTGCTGGCAATAGCGGTAGCGGCACTCATCTATGTCTGAGATGGAGGCAGGGAGAGAAAAGCAGACCACAAGCCAGATGGGGCCTGAGCTGGCTCGCCTCAGCACTCACACTCACTCCTGCCTTCGTCAGGGAGCTGAGTTGAGTCACCCACATTTAATCTTCTGCGTCTAGTGACAGGAGTGCAGCAGCAGCAGAGGATTGGGGTGAGGTAAGGCATCAGATCAAGAGCCAGACCGAGGTCACAGAGCAAGAACTTAGGAAAGCCATTCTACACTTACCCACACATTCGGGCCCAATTTTTCGGTAACCATCAGGGCAGGTGCACTGGTAGGAGCCAGGAAGGTTATGGCAGTCCTGGCTAGGGCGACAGTCATGCAAAGCCTGGGTGCACTCGTCCACATCTGTGGGAGACACCGTTCAGCCTTTGCCTGGAGTCCCCACATGCTACTGACCATGTGAGGTATCTCAGTTTAGGAGGAGACGACCCACGTCAGACTTCATTCACATGGGGACATGGGGAGTTGGCACCAAATCACGAACATGTAATTCAGATCATCCCAATAATACAAAAAAGACTCCACCAAGGAACTACCAGGAAAAGTACCCATTAGGAGAGCATATTAAAATAAGGCCTTGTAGCCTGGTCTACAGAGTGAGTTCCAGGACAGCCAGAACTACACAGAGAAACCCTGTCTTGAAAAACAACAACAAAAATAAATAAATAAATAAATAAATAAATAAATAAAATAAGGCCTTGTGGAGTCTGGTGGCACACACCTTTAATTCCACCACTGGGGGAGGGGGGAAAGGCTAGAGGATCTCTGTGAGTTCCAAGCTAGTTGTAGCTAGAGCTACAGAGTGAGACACTGCCTTAAAAATAAATAAATAAGGTCCTTATGTGGCAAGTGAAGCGAGAGACCAACCATGGTGGCTTATGTGTGGTCGCTAATGAGGTTCCTCATCAAGGGAAGTGTAGCTGGAGGAGCAGTCTACCTTGTTTATGACCAGGAGCTGCTAGGGCCTAGTGACAAGAGCAAGGCTGCCCTGCGGAAGGCCAAGGAGGTTGTGCCACCAGCAATGTACCAGTTCAGCCAATATGTGTGTCAGCAGACAGGTCTGGAGATGCCACAGTTCCCAACCCCTCCAAAGATTAACTTTCCAAACTTCCTGATTCCTGGAACTAAGGCATCATTTCAGTCATGGTAGCCTTGTCTGTGGCCCCCTCCAAAGCCCGAGAATACTCCAAGGAGGGCTGGGAGTACGTCAAAGAACACACCAAGTAATGGATGCCACCTGCCCCATCATTATGGGGGTCAAGACCAGGATGCCATAGACATCCCAGTGGGGACCTCACTCTGAGGGCAGCTTCCAGCATTGCTGGCCCAATAAAGGCCTTGGGAATGGTCAAAACAAACAAACAAACAAACAAACAAAGCCTTTTATACCCCTCAGCTGACTCGAGGGTCAGGATCTTTCCTCCTCCAAGGCCAACGGTTCCCAAGACTGACTCCAGATCAAAACACAGACAGAGGCCAGGAGCTTGCATGTCTGTATAGGAAATCGAGGGCTGCTAGGAACTTCCTGGGCCTGCAGACCATGCACTGAGTTCCTGGGCCTGCAGACCATGCACTGAGTTCCTGGGCCTGCAGACCTTGCACTGAGTTCCTGGGCCTGCAGACCTTGCACTGAGTTCCTGGGCCTGCAGACCATGTACTGAGTTCCTGGGCCTGCAGACCTTGCACTGAGCATGAAGATTTGGATATTTCTCTGAGGAGCCAGAGAGAAAGAGCATGAGGTCTGGAGTATTTAAAAGGAAAAATTACTCTATTGTTTTGTTAATTAATGAATTAACTAAGTTTTTAAGATAAGATCTCATGCAGAGCTGGGCAGTGGTGGCGCACGCCTTTAATCCCAGCACTTGGGAGGCAGAGGCAGGCGGATTTCTGAGTTTGAGGCTAGCCTGGTCTACAGAGTGAGTTCCAGGACAGCCAGGGCTACACAGAGAAACCCTGTCTCAAAAAAAAAAAAAAAAAAAAAAAAAAACAAACAAAAGCTCTCGTGCAGCTCGGGTTGTCCTCAGAGTCCTTACGCTACTGAGGACAACCCTTACCTTGGGCCTCCTGCCTCCACCTCCCCACTGGTGGGATAACAAGTGTCTTCTACCACTCTTATTCCTTGAGGTGCTGAGGATCAAATCCAGAAACTGTCTCAAAAACCAAAGTGCATAGCCGGATGGTGGTGGCACAGAAGCAGGTAGATCTCGGAGTTTGAGTTCCAAAACAGCCAAGGCTACATAAAGAAACCCTGTCTCAAAAAGCCAACCCCCCCAAAACAAACAAACAAAACCAACCAAACAAACAAAAATCCAACTAGGAGGGACTACAAAGTGCAACTAGAGGATTAAAGCAAACAAGAACGATGTGTGCCAGAAAATGACGCCATGATGAAATGCATTCCTCTGTACAGTAAACACAAAATTAGTTAAAAAAAAAAAAAAAGACTCGTAAAAGGTCTGGAAGCCTAGGTGCCAGCATGACCCCCACTTACCCACACAGCTCTCCTGTTCATCAGGCTCGTAGCCTGGCGGGCAAGGATTTGGGTGTTGAGCAGCAGGCACTGGCGGTGGAGGTCCTTCACCATGGAGATCATTGATGACGGCAGCAGAGCGAGGCAAACACAAATAGCCCCCGTAGTGGTTGATGCATTTCATTTCACCCTTGCAAGCCTCTGGGATGGTCAGGCACTCATTGACATCTGCAGAGAGGGGCCTGCTGGGCACAGCCAGTCACCTGGGCTGGCCCTGGAGGTAGTGGGAGGCAGAAGCCCAACTTGGCCTTCTCTAAGCTGAGCAACAGAGCAAGGCTTTCTCTTTAATCAGCAAACTAAGACTGCTGACCCAGAATCCCTCCCAGGGATTTGCAGGATTGGGTGTGGGGCCCCCTATTTCATACTGTTATCCCCATTCTCCTGCCTCCAAGTGAGTTTCCTTCCTCCTCAAATCCCTCCCTCTACCTTTGCCCAAGAGTAATCTGCAGGCCTCCTGACCCAGGGAGGACATACTGCTCTCCCAGGCTGCATTGAGATAGAGCTGGGCTAGGAGAGTACAGTGCAGTTCAGGGAAGGTGGGTGTATTTCCCTCTCTCTGGGCAACAGCCAGGTGCTCTCTTGCCTCCTGCAGGATAGAGGCAGAGTTTGTTCTGCTTCTTGAAGGGGTTGGGCTCCTACTTGAGTGGCACAAGGGAAACATGGCTGGCTACCACGCTGGACAGGGAAAAGGCCATCAAGTTCCTGCAGCAGCTCTGGGAGATAAGGTGTCCCTGGGAAACAATAATTCTTTTTCCAGTTCCTGAAGATGGCTAGTACCCCAGACATACTCACCCCGGCAGTGCTGACTGTCTGCATCCCACTCATAGCCATCTGTGCATTCCTGGAAGGGAACCCGATGTGGCCAGTGACCACCCTGGCTGTCTCCTCCAACTAGCCAGGCCAAGACCAGGGCCTGAGCTCAGTCATGCTCAGGTCAGCTCCACACAATGGCCTCCAGCTTTCCACCAAACAAGCAGGGGAGAATCTTTCCCAGAAGCAGCCTCCCCAGGATCCTGGTCTCGCTGTCCTTCCCATCCCATCCCAAGCTGGTGACCCCATGGTCCCCACCGTGTAGCTGTCCGGCTCCTCAGAATCCTGTGGGGACGCTGCTCCCAAGAGCAACAGCAGAAACGCCCAGAACAGTAAAGACCCGGGGAGGCAGGAGGCAAAAGGGAGCATCCTGGGGCTGAGAGGTGGTGGGCAGAAGTCAGGGGCTTCTGCCACGGCACCCCCCATTCCCTCTATCTGGAAGGGGAGTCTGGGTCCCAGTTGTCTCGTCTCAGGACTGTGCTTGGAGCACCGGAACCCTCCAGGGCTGGGGACCGAGTCCTTTCGCAGGCCTGGGGCTCAAGCCCGCAATCCTGGACCGCCCCGCCCCCGCCCCGCGAGTCCTGAAGCGCAGGCCTCTCCGCTCCGCGCAGCACGGACTCGGCCGCGACAGGGCCCGCGCCCTCCCTCCGCTGGAGGCCACTCACGCGTCGACTCCAGCAGTGCCTGCGGGCGGACGGGCGGACCGCGCAGCTCACTGGACGCGCGGCCCCAGGAAGCGCCCCCCGCCCGCCCGCTGCGGCCCACCCCGGCGCCTCCGCCCGCCCTTCGGCGGATTCCTGAGCCCGCGCCAGGGGGAGGGACCCCGACCCCCCGGCTCCTCCGCCCAGGCAGGCCACAGGCCCCCGCCCGGTCCCCCGCGGCGCTGCCTGGAGTCGCCTGCGGATGCCCAGCCAGTTTCCCAATGTGTGGGTTCTTAGGCCACTGACCTTGATGCTTGGCCCCAAAACTCACCTGGGAACCCCAGGCCCTCACTCAAAATGTTATTCTGTCCACCTAGACCCTATCTAACCTGTGCCTCCGGAACCCCATACTGTGCACTCACACCTTCGTGAAACCCGAGTCTGCGCCTCCCAGAACCTACTGGTCATTTAATCCTCGGATCTCCAAATTCTACTTTCAGAATTTTATCCAATGTTACACCATCATTACTTAGATGATCCTAAAACTTCATCCAAGGTTTCTGGACTTTTGTCCAGGCATAAAATTAATTGTCCAACTCCCTGTGCATACACCTCCACGGTCTCCAGGTGGTCTCTTTACTGAGGGCACTGCTGCCCAAGCCCTGCCTCCAAAATCTACAGTAGTACGGGGGCGAGGGCAGCAGTAGTCTTGGCCCGAAATGAATGGAAGCCCCTGAGAAGGCGGGCAAGCTTGAATTTGGGCACGGAGAACACTAGGGCCCCGTGCCAGCCCTTTCCCGACCCCTTCCCATTCAAGTCCCCCACCCAGTTTCCGCCTCCGCCCCCAGCGGAGATCATGCTTTGGAGGTGGAGTCTGGGTGCCTCTGGCGCCCAGGAAGGGTGAATGGGCGGGACTTCGCGTTGCCCACGTCTCAGGGCGGGTCTAGACGGGAAAGGGTTGCGTGTCCAGGGTTCCCGTGCCTTGCCCAGGCCGCTAGCGGCAGTAGCCCGGCCTTCCTTCCCTTCCCTTACCCAACCTCTTTCCATCTTTTTTGTTTGTTTTTCTCTTTTCGAGACAGCGCCTCACACTGTGGCTCTGACTGTTCTGGAACTCACTAAGTAGACGAGGCCTCGAACTCACAGAGATACGCCTGTCAGTGCCTCCTAGGTTCTCTGATGAAAGGTGTGCATTACCATGTACCACTCTGCCTTGACTTAAAAAAAAAAAACTCTGCTTCATTTAATTGTCAGAGTGGTAATGTGTGTGGTGTATGTGTGTGTGCCCTTGTACCGGTGGAGGCTATCGCTTTCCACCTTATGTTTTAAAACAGGGTTTGTCACCGAGTCTGGATTGGTTGGCTAGTGTGCTCTTATCTCTGCAGCCTCCAGCTCCCTGGCCCTCTAGAGGTTACAGAAATGCATCACCACTACAGCTGGATTTTATGCTAGGGCTGGGAATCTGAACTCAGACCCTCATGCTGTGTGTGACGAGCGTTTGACCCAATAAGCCATCTCCTCAACGTCCATTGCTTTGATTAGAAAATGTTTTTATTAATTTCTAATGATGCATATATGTGTACATCTGTGTGTGAGTACGTACACCTGAGTGCCAGTGTCCACAGAGCCAGCAGTGACCCCTGGATCTGGAGTTACAGGAAGTTGTTAGCAGCCTGATGTGGGAACCAATCTCAAGTCATCTGGAAGAGGAATACTAGAGCCATTCCTTCAGCACTGACTTTTTTTTTTTAAGCAATAGAGGGTTTGGGGTGTAGCTTAGTAGCAACCTGCTTGCTTAGCATTACCAAGATCCAAAGTTCAATCCTAGTAATTCCTGACACACTAGAGTGGGTGTGTATGTGTGTCTACATGAGTGTGTGTGTGAGTGTAAGTGTATGTGTATAAGTGTGTGTGTGTGAGTGTGTAAATGTGTGCATCTGTGTGTGAGTATTGTGTATGTGTGAATGTATGTGTGACTGTGTGAATGTGTATGATTGTGCATGAGTGTAAATTATGTGAGTATACGTGAGTGTGTGAGTGTGTGTGTGTGTGTGTGTGTTGGAATTCTGAAGTAGACCAAAGCCCACAGAGAGAAGTGTGGGGAGCGGAGTCTTGAGCAAACGTGTACTGTTGATATTAACATAGCCATGTCAAAGACTCCAATCACTCAGACCTGTGGGAATGGCAGGGCCTTCTTCAGGCCAGGCTCAGGGAGATGGCAAGGCCTTCCATGAGTACAGATGCACACAGTATATGTATTGTGAAAGCCCCATGACTGCAGCTGTGACTGCTCCCCTGCAGAGCTCCCCTAAGGAAATGAGCTAACAATCCTCCTTCAGCTCATAGAATAAACCAGCTGAGTTTCCAGGCTGCTGGTATGTCTCCCTCAGAATACATGGCCCTTGTCTCCTTCAGATCCCTGGGTTTTATCTATGCCTGCCTACTGTTTCTTCATTCCCCATTGCCCAATCAGGCCAATCTCAAAGCCTGATGAGGGGACAGGAAAAAAAAAAAAGAAAGATAAACATAAGGAAAAAATGCCTGGCCTAGTGGCACATGGTTTCAATCCTAGCTCCTGGAAGGTGAAGGCAGGTGGATCTCTGAGTTTGAGACCACCTTGGTCTTGGTCTCCACAGGGAATTTCAGAACAAGCTACACTCAGAGACCCTGTCTCAAATATACATATAATCCTTTCTTTTCTTTCCTTTTCTTTTCTCCCCTCTTCTCCCCTCCCCTCCCCTCCTCTCCTTTCTTTTCTCTTCTTTTCTTTTTTTGGCTCGGTGTTTCATACAGGGTCTCTTTATATAGCCCTGGCTGTCCTGGAACTCACTATGTAGACCACACTCTGAGTTGTATTATCCAACTCAGAGATCCACCTGCCTCTGCTTCTTGACTGCTAGGACTAAAGGTATGCACCACCATACTGGCTTACATACATATTTTTTTAAAGGTAAATTGCAGCTGGACAGTGGTGGCATACATCTTTTATTTCAGCTTGAGAGAGGCAGAGACAGGTGGATCTCTGTGAATTTGAGCCCAACCTGGTGTACATAGTAAGTTCCAGGACAGCCAAAGCTACACATGAAAACAAAATAAAGCCGGGCGGTGGTGGCCCATGCCTTTAATCCCAGCACTTGGGAGGCAGAGGCAGACGGATTTCTGAGTTCGAGAGTTCTAGGCTAGCCTGGTCTACAGATTGAGTTCCAGGACAGCCAGGGCTACACAGAGAAACCCTGTCTCGAAAAAAACAAAAACCAAAAAAACAAAACAAAACAAAACAAAAAAACAAAAAAACCTGAAAACAAAAAAAACAAAAAAGGTAAGTTGCATAGTAAGTGACTTGCGTCTCATCTGTTCATTGTCGTTGTTTGAAACAGGGTCTCATATAACCCAAGCTGGTCTGGAACTTTTTATGAAACCAGGCTAGTCTTGAACTCCTGGCAAGCCTCTTGTCTCAGTCTCCTAGGTGCTAAAATTACAGGCATGAGCCACCATGACCATCTAATTAAGCTGTTAATAATGTTAAGCAAAATTCCTGATCATCAAGATCTAACTATCCCAGGCACTGGCAAGGAGACACAACAATTCTCTTGTCAAGCCAGACAATGTCATGCCACCGCTACCCCACTTTACAGGTGAGAAGGGTTGAGATATTTGTCCCAGGTGCCACCAACATAACAAGAAGTGTTATAATTCAGATCCCACAGATTCCAAGACTGAACCTTGTCCTCACGTAGAACAAGAAGGAGCTACAACATGAACATCTGGCCAGGCTCTTCAAGTGCCATGCCACTCAGAGCTGCTGCTGTCACTTACAGGCACCAAGGTCCAGACAGGATTCAACACACAGTGGCTGACTTAAACTTGAGCAGGAATCTCCAATTTTGCACCACTAAGCCCAAGTCATCTGCCCCTGCCTTCCTGCCTTCCCAACGGCCTCCGCTGACCTCTGACACCCCAGTGACTCAGCCTAACCTCCCTGTATCGGCATCATGTCCCTGGGAAGCTCCCTGTTTGGCTGATTCCCAATCTCTCAGCCCCCCCTCACCTGTGAAGTAGGTAGCAATGGCATCCCATCTCTGGCTTGACAGGAGGATTGTAAAATGTTCTCTTTCCTTAGACAGTGAGGCTCCTGGACTCACAGCCCAGCCCTGAGTGGTTGGTCGCTGGGTAGGATAAGAGAGTGGCCAAGTGATCAAGAGGATCACTCACTCACTCAAGTGGCTGCTGAGTGGCCGCTGCTGCTGAGGATGTACCAGGCACCAAGGACACAGTGCTGTCCAAAACACATGAGAACCTGGCCTTGCAGAGTTCATGTTTGAAGGATGGAAGGAACAAGGAGAAAAAGCCCCAGTCCCTCCTTTTAGCCTTCCACAAGAGAAAGTATGCATGACATGTCACCTATATTTGACCGACACAGCACAAGATCGACTTGGGATACATATTAGTGCTCCAGGGCCATTCGGCTAGGCACCTATGGACAGTCAGTCTGTCCACTTCATTTTAATGAAAGTACCATTTATTTTTAAATAGAGAGATCCCTTTGCTTACTGTTCCAGGGAGAGATATGGGTGAAGTTTAATGGAACATAGCAGTTCTAAGACAACCCCTAATGTAGGTACGAGGTAGAGAGTGTGTCAGTGGACGGCACCAGGATTAGACCCCTCCTCCTTTGCCCCAAGCATGAACCCTGGAAAGCCAACCCTTTGCACCTATCCCTAGTCTTGGCAGCTGTTTCCCAGCCTGAAGGTCGGTGGTGGGCAAGGGCTTCTTTAACCCAAGGACCCATTTAGAATGGAGACAGCAGTTAATAGAAGTCAGGTGCTGCCCAGACTACACAGGCTTTGGGCTCGTTTTTTCTAGGATACTTTCTGTTGTCTTTGTCCTCATTTGCAGACCATGTTGAGGTAAAGAAACAAGACAGAAGCGACTTTAAGTTTTCAGTCACCCAAAACATACTGGTGTCTCTAATGGAAGTATTCAGATCTGAGTAGGAGCATCAGGAATTCAGTCTTCTCCAACTACCTAAGGAGTTTAAGCCCAGCCTGGGCTACATGAGATCCACTTCCTTCTCTCATAAAAGAAGACCCAAATTGCCTGGTCTAGTAGCACCCACCTTTAATCCCAGAACTCAGGCAGAGGCAAGCATTTTATGAATAAAAGTCTGGTCTACACAGCTGGAGAGTTAGAGCAGCCAGGGTGACTTAGTGAGACCCTGTCTCAACAACATCAAACAAACAAAACAACCCAAATTAAAACTCATGGAGCCTGCCCCACATTTCCTGATGGTGTAGACACAGACGGTTCGGACACCTCTGAGGCTGGGAGGGAGATGAATGGACCATGGTGTGTCCAGGGCTCAAGGGGCTGTGAACCTGAACTTGGGCTCTCCAGCAGGGAAGGCTTCTTTAAAAAGGTGGCCCTTAAGTTGTTTCACAAGTAAAACAAGAGGGAGTCACTAAGGAATCCTGAGCACCACCCATCACTGTCAGGATACCAGGCACCTAGGGATTGTCCTAGCTACGTTTTCCATCATAGCGTTGATGCCGATATCATCACTCTCCACTGACATTTGTCTTCCTGTCTCCTTAGAGACAGATTTGTCTTTATATCCAAAAATAGACTGGAGTATGGCAGCCAAGAGTTGCTATTGAAAATAAGTGGGTGGGGGTTATCCAGGCAGGCAGGTGGAGGGTCTACCCTCCTCCAAGCCTGGTTTCCCCTCGTGGTTTCTCCAGCCCCGCCCTTTCCAACTTAGTCTACACAGCTTCCTGCCCCCAGCACTCGTGGCTGCACCATGACACTGACTGCCCACCTCTCCTACTTTCTGGCCCTGTTGTTAGCAGGCCAAGGCCTCAGTGACTCCCTCCTCCCCAAGGTAAATGCTTCTAACCTGCTTTCATGCCCTTCCGTGCCTGCTTCATGTCTGGGGTCTTATCTTTTTCAACTGGCATATTTTTCATTCCTTTTTTTTGTTTTCATTTGTTTGTTTGTTTGTTTTTAAAGACAGGGTTTCTCTGTGTAGCCCTGGCTGTCCTGGAACTCACTCTGTAAACCAGGCTGGCCTCAAACTCAGAAATCCGCCTGCCTTTGCCTCCCAAGTGCTGGGATTAAAGGCATGTGTCACCACTGCCTGGCCCTTTTTAATTTTCTTAAGACAGGGTTCCCTGGGCATGGTAGCAGAAGGATCTCTGTGAGTTTGAGACCAGCCTGATCTACGTAGTGAGGACAGGACTATGAAGAGAGGGACCTTGTCTTACAAAAAAAAAAAAAAAAAGACAAAGGCCTCACTTTGTAGCTCAGGTTAGCTTTTAACTGTGTAGCCCAGGGTGGCTTCACTGGCTTAAAACTCTCAGCTGTCCTCCTGCTGAAATAAGCATTGAACTAGAGGGGTGAGCTGCCCTGTCTAGCTTTATCTTTCCTATTTCTCAGAGGGAGCAATTGGCGCTGTGTGGATGCTCACACTTAGAACAGAAGAATGCAGGACCCCTTAGCTCTGTCTTTGTACCTAGAGATAAGGCTGGGTTCACAATGATTCTTTCCTGTGACTCTCCCCACTTTTGACTCCTTGCTAGGATGCAGTTCCCCAACCACTGGAGCTGAAGGAAGTCTTCAAGCTGTTCCAGATCCAGTTCAACCGAAGTTACTCGAACCCAGCTGGTATCTCAGGCACAGATGTTTCCAGTCTGACTTCCTCTGTCCACTTAAGAGATGAACTTACGGTTTTGGATGGGGAATAGACCTGGGCCAGACCATTGAGTGGGAAATAGGATCCACAGTCCACCCTTTAGCTTCCCCAATGTATGATGGGCATGGAGCAATCCTGTCTACAGCCACTTAACTGTGACTCCAGGCAGGGCGTGGAGGACCACCATATTGTCACATTTTCAATCACCAGATCCCTGTCTCCAAGGTGACAACCCTAGTCCCAAGCACAGAGGGACTCACAGAGGGCTCTCTCTCTTTCTGTGTGTTTGTGTGTGTGCACTTGCACCCTATCCCCTCACCCCACCCACCCATCCTCCAAACCTGTGGTCAGATGTGTGAAGAGGAGACAGAGAAGGTGCAGCCCACAGGTGCAGGAAACGGGCCTCCAGCCACTTTAACTTTCCTGTCTGAGTTACTGCCTCTAAAGGCCTTGCTCAGCTTCCCCTGGGGTGGGCCTGAGTGTCTTTAGGGGAAATTCTAACCTCATGTAGGCTGGATAATTACTTTCTTGCAGTGTAGTTATAGTGATGGAAAGCGCCAGCACTTACCTGAATGGGTGTGAGCGGCCCATCCAGTGGCCACTTCCTGCCCTGAGGCTGGCCTACAACTCCGTTTTGGTCTAGAGTACACTCGCCGTCTGAGTATCTTTGCCCACAACCTGGCTCAGGCTCAATGGCTACAGCAAGAAGACTTGGGTACAGCTGAGTTTGGAGAGACTCCATTCAGTGACCTCACAGGTACCAGAGCCCTCCTGGCCTCCATGTGGTGGGTAGGTGACTGGCAAATTGACAGGGTAAATCTCCCCTTTTAAGGACAGCCTGGGTGACTGCCCTAAATCTCAGTGTAAGACATGACTTCTGTTGTTGTGTCCAGCTTGGCTCTCAGGCCAGAAGCAGAGGGTGTAGAGACTGCACCAGCACAAGCTGGACCTCTCTACGCCTCAGTGTCCCACCTGATGCCTTCAAAGGTATCATATGGACATGAAGAGTCAAGATAGTGACAGCTAGAAAAAGAATATGGAAGAGAAGGGTGTTGAACCCGTGACTTCTCTGGCCCTGTCTGTCCCCAGAGGAGGAGTTTGGCCAGTTATATGGGCACCAGAGGGCACCAGAAAGGATCCCCAACATGGCCAAAAAGATAGAGTCTGAAAAGTGGGGGCAATCTGTGCCCCCCACCTGTGACTGGCGTAAAGCAACAAACATCATCTCATCGATCAGGAACCAGGTATCTGCCCCCACTCAGTTTAGCCCAGAGGAGAGACTGGGGAGATGAGGTCAAGGCCTTGACACCTTACCCTGTCCCACCCTACCCACTCAGGGAAACTGCGCGTGCTGCTGGGCCATGGCAGCAGTGGACAACATCCAGGCTCTGTGGAGCATCAACCACCACCAGCGTGTGGACCTCTCTGTGCAGGGTATGACAGGGAGTGCAGCGATGACAGGGAAACTGGCCTAGGGGACCTGCTCACCTATGCTGTCCCTTTCTGCCCCAGAGCTGCTGGACTGTAACCGCTGTGGAAATGGTTGCAACGGTGGCTTCGTGTGGGATGCATATATAACTGTCCTCAACAACAGTTGAGTAGCAGGCCTCCCTGGTGGGAGGTCAGTAGGGGCAGTGAGTGTTCAGTCTCCAAGGCTCCTTCCTGGTCTTGCTTGTCTTCAGGTGGCCTGGCCAGTGAAAAGGATTACCCATTCCAGGGGCACTGGAAGCCCCACAGATGCCTAGCCAAGAAGTACAAGAAGGTGGCCTGGATCCAAGATTTCACCATGTTGTCCAGTAATGAGCAGGGTATGGCCAGGGTAGACATGGAGGGTGGGGGCAGAGAAACCAGAATGGAGGCAGACTGCCTGGCTCTGGGAGACCCAATTAAACTCCATTCCCCTGTGAGAAGAGTAGCAACTGGAGGGCAGGCAGGACTTGATGGCACCCTCAAGTCTCCAGTAATTACCTACTTCCAGCAATTGCCGGCTACCTGGCCGCCCATGGGCCTATCACCGTGACCATCAACAAGAAGCTACTACAGGTGGGTGGACAGGGGAGCCCGAGGGCCATACAGAGATGCCCTAGACTCAACTCTTCTGTCCCCACCCTTGCAGAATTACCAGAAGGGTGTGATCAAGGCTACACCCGGTTCCTGTGACCCTCATCATGTGGACCACTCTGTCTTGCTGGTGGGTTATGGCAGAGAGAAACGGGGCATGCAGACAGGGATGGCCTTGTCCCATTCTCGAAAACCTCGCCGCTCCACCCCCTACTGGATCCTGAAGAACTCCTGGGGAGCTCAGTGGGGCGAGAAGGTGAGTGGAGTGAAACAGACAGGGGGCAGACTATAATGTCTTTTTCACCTTCTGGCCCTGACACCCCCTGACTTCCTAGGGTTACTTCAGGCTCTACCGGGGAAACAACACCTGTGGAATCACCAAGTACCCGCTCACAGCTCGAGTGGGCCCACTAGTCAAGAAGCCACCAATTTCTTGTCCACCTTGAGGCCAGCAGCCATTCTTCAGCCTCTCCCACATGGCCACTGCCCCTTGTCAGCTCTGCTTTGAGTTTCTGCCTGACTTCCCCATCCTCTCTGTATGGCTTCATAAACCGAGTCATGCTCCGTGGCTTCTGAGTGGATTTAGCTGGGATGTGGAGAGGGGAGGTGGGGGTGGGAAGACCTCGTCTGTGTCATGGTCCGGTCCCTGAGGTGCTAGAATGCACATACCTATGGGTGATGGCACCTGAGCACACGTGTGCACTGTGGAAATCCCCATGAGCTCTTCAACCTGGAACAAGGACCAGTCTCCAAAATTATGGCAACTTTATTCTCAGGGTATGTCAGAGGGAGGAAGGAAAAGGGCTTTAATCATGATAGAGGCGCAGAAGGCAGCCACGGAGGGTGCCCATGTAGCGGTCCCAGAGGGCCTGGTGCCTGCAACGAAGATGTCAATGGTGATAGCTGATGCCCACTCACCGCCACGCCCCCCCCATGCCCACCACACCGCTATGAGTGTTTTCTACACTTTAACACATCAAGACACCCCACCCCCCTTTTTCATAGTTTGTTTTTGAGATAGAGTCTTACAGTGTAGTCCAGGCTGGCCTGGGAAACAGTGGCAAGCCTCATGCTCCAGCTTCCGACGTGCTGGGATTATAGACCTGAGCCATGATGCTCAGTTTCCTTCTCCCTGCTCTCCACCCACTGCTGAGGACTGATCTGAGGGCTACTTAGTTTCCATAAATCTTATGAGTCTTCTGGTTTTATCCTCAACTTACCTTTAAGAAAGCTAAAGCCCAGAAGGGGTACGTAACCTGCCCAAGGTCACAACAATGAGAGGCGGAACTTCCACCCACAGGGTAGTTCAATAGGGAACCCTGAGTCTACTGGAGGGCAAGGAAGTTAGCCAGCAGCCCTGGCTCCTCTCACCGGAAGCCATCCAGGGAGTGAACAGACGCTGAATACTGGTTAAGGAAGAGCCGCACATCACTCAGTGGCCAGTGGTCAGAGCGGCAGGGTTCCACAAACTGTAGGCCCAAGGCGACAAGTAGCACCACCAGTACTGCTCAGACACAGGACAGGCTAAGGACTGGGGGTTGGGGACAGGGAGTGGGACAGGACTGCTCACCTTCTCCACAAGGTCCACAAAGAGGTCTCTGACATCCTTATTGTGGGTCAGCTTGGCAGCCACATTCACCAGCCCCCGGGACAGATTCTGTGGGGCAAGGATCTCAGGAGTTGTCTTCTGCTCCAGAAGCTGGAGGCTGAGCACTGAGACTGAGGGAGGGCCAGGCCCCTCCCCCAAATATATCCACCTCCCTCAGACAATCAATGCCCTTTTGTTATGAGCTTGGGAACCCCCTCATAGGCAGATAGAGAGAGCAGCAGTGCCATCTGCCGGTCAACTTCAGGCATGAGCAGAGTTGCCTGGCAAGGGTACAGCACAGAAGGCTCCTGACACTTTACAGGAAGGGTCTGGACAGGGCCACAGACCTTGAAGTTGGTTTCCATCTCGGAGAAGACACCCAGCTTTCCCCGGAGGGCAGTACACACCAGGCTGTAGGAAGACACAATCACAACCTATAGCCATCTAGCACCATTTTACACCCTGTCTCATGGACCCCCACAGTCACCTCTTGTGCAAGTCTAGAAGGTCCTTGTCAGCTACTAGAACCTTGAGCTCCTTCAAGTCTTGGAGAAACTCCTTATCCAAGTCCACATCCATGTCGTCCATCTGAGAGTCTGCGAGGCCATGAAAGAAGTCGTGGGTGGAGGAGAGCCCATCTTATGAGGTACTGAACCTTCTTCACCACTACACCTCACTGGGACCTCAGAGATGGAAGGTGGAATGTCATGCCTCAGGACACGCATAGGGAGCCCTGGCCTGCAGACAGGTGTGCGTGACGCAAGGGGACGATATGGAGAGGTGGGCTGGGGCTGAGGGCTAAGAAGAAAGGGTGCTGAGTACTGTGGAAGCTATATATACATCAGGACAAACTGAGAGCAGGGAACCAGTCCCCAAGAGGGTAGGGAGTCCAGGCACCTGGGTCAGTGGGGGCCTCACCGACGGCTCCAAGGGTCCAGTTCTGTATCATAAGCTCAGCACAGAAGGCAAAGTCGCCAAAGCTCAGGTACTGCAGCTTTTTCTTTCCTGTTTCAAAGCGGTTGTTGGCAAAAAAGACGATGGCTGCATAATCTCTGCAGACAGGGACAGTGGCTCTCTTAGGATGAGAACTACCTTTTCCTGGTTCATACAACAGTGTCTGACTAGTAAGCTTACTTAGAAGCCATTCTTGAAGAAACTCTTCATTGTAGCTCCCACCTGCAATCTTGGCTAAGCATTTTGGTTCTGGCCTGTTTCTGCTCTAACTCACCAAGTGACCAACCACAGGCTGTTTCCTTACCAACCTCCCACCTCTGCAAAGAGAAGATCCAGCCAGTCTTCCTAAGGAATACAAAGGAAGGCCACACTGCATCACTGAGCACTTCTTGAATGCTTTACAAATGCCTTAACCTTGGCAATTTGATGCAGTTTACAGGTCACTAATAGAATAATCATTCCTCCAGAACAGTCAGAGGTGAAATGGTTAGGATAGGAAAAGTGTACCAGGCTAAGGGCCTAAGGAAACTTCATGTGGAGAGGAGGAGGCTGGCCCCTCACCTGGCTAAGCGGTCAGAGAGGAGGAAGTGTTGCTGGATGTTATCCACCAGGGAGCCCCGCATCTCTTCCACCACCTTGAAGACCCGCTTAAAGTTGTCAAACTGTAAGGCAATTAAAGAAGACTGGTCAAGATGCCCATGCTTGAGATGCTATGGGCTTCTCTCTCCTGTCGACTCTCATTCCTGTCACCAAATGCTACCAAAATGCCTGTGGATAAGGTAGTATCTCGCTCCCTTGTAGATTTCAAGGAGTAGATATGGCCAAGAACAGCATCTTCTAGGCAGGAGTACCATGTACAAAAACAAACTTGGGGCTCAAGAAATGTAAGCCCAGCCGGGCGGTGGTGGCACACGCCTTTAATCCCAGCACTTGGGAGGCAGAGGCAGGAGGATTTCTGAGTTCGAGAGTTCGAGGCTAGCCTGGTCTACAGAGAGAGTTCCAGGACAGCCAGGGCTACACAGAGAAAAAACAAACAAACAAACAAACAAACAAACAAACCCCAGAGAGGTCTACAGGGACCCGACCTGAGTCTGAAGGTTAAGGAGAGGGGGAGTTAATGAAAATCTATAGACAACGGAAAACCATGGTCAGACTGAGCCTATGTGAGATCACTCTGGCCAGATGGGAGGTGGAGGGAAAAGAGGGTACATGTGAAGAAGCTGGTTCCACAATCACAGGCTGGAGTGGAGCTGGGGTAGTAAGCAGAAGGATCAAGGGATGGGCTAGATGGGTAGTGGTGTATGTGTGGAACCCACCTGCCTCCTGCAGCTCTTGAGAGTAATTCCTGTTTTGGTGCTGATGTCATCCAGGTCTTTCTTGGTACCCTTGGACAGCTTCTTGCCCAAAACCTCCCGAACAAAGGCCTCATCAAAGGTGTAGTACCTTGTGGAGGCACAAGACATTCAGTTTCAGCCTACAAAATGGGTATAAGCCAGATTGATTGACACCCCCACCACCGCCGTGGTAAGCACCTCTCGATGAGGAGTGCCTGTCGCGAGGGAGGAATCTGGAAGATGAGCTGGTGCAGCAGCTTCGGTGGCGCGTGCAGCAGACGCTCAAGCATGTGAAAGGTGCGGTAGTGGTCCATGGTGTCGCTCTGCAGCACTCCTGTGGTGGCTCCCGTCTGCTCCAGGATTCCGGAGCGTACTCGCAGAGCTACTGCATCGTTCACTGAGGAGTGGGCGCTACCATAAGACCCCAGAGGCCATCCAGGGGTTCCATCACCAATGCTTCCACTTCACCGACTCCCCGCAGTCAGTTCACTTCCCTAAACTAAGCCTACGTCCTAGCCACGCCCCCTCTCTCACCCAAAACAACAGCTTCCTAGGAGGGCGCGGGACAAACCTGAGTAACCATCCAGCCAGAGGCGATACACGTCTTCATCTATAAGGGTCGTGTTTCCCACGAAAATGTCTAGTTCGCTGGTCATGACGTTGCTCGGGCCGGGTTCGCCCGAAGCAGGAGCTTCCACGGCCCGGGGCCGGGCTAGCAGCCGCAGAGCCACTTCCGGGAGTTCGGAGATTTTGTTCCGGGCACCCGGAGGCAATAAAGGACCACTTCCGGGACGGATCTCGTGAGATGCCGCTCTGCTCTCTCACTTTACTCAGTTTTGTGAGGGGTTTTTCGGAAGATCTCGAGATAGTCTTCTCTCAGTCTCCCCTGTCTTGCAGATTCTCCAACATCCTCCTTTAGTCTCTCCCATCTTCTCGGTTCTCTCAGAGCCTCCCAATTTCGACCTGTATCCTAAATTAGAGTGTTTCCGAGGCTCTATCCTAAATCGCTAGGTGTGTGTGGCCCTTCTTCCATAGTCCATCAGACAGACAAACATTTTTCTTGTTCCCGGCACGTATTTTATTTTTATGATTTTGAATTATGTGTATGTGGGGAGAGGATGTGTGCGTGTGAGTTCAAATGCCCTTTGAGACCAGAGGTATCAGATCCCCTGGAGTTAGATTTACAGGAAATTATGGGTTGCCCATTTGGTTGTGGGTAAAAGAACTCAATTCCTCTACAAGAGCAGTTCCTTACTCCTAACCACTTGACGCTCTCTCCAGCCCCGGTTTTTCAACACACACTACACCCACACACAAGCTAGTGACTTCTCTTAAAGTCTTTCAGAGCTCTGCCTGGAAGCAGACATCTTCAGGGCCACCCACCAAGCCTGAGTTCCATCTCCAGCACCCATATTGTGTAAGGAAAGAACCAATGGTTTCTTTTGTTGTTGAGACAAGGTCTTACTTTGTAGTCCAGACTAGTCTAAATTGGCAGCAGTCTTCCATCTTCACCCTCTCAAGCACTGAGATTACAGAATAGGAACCACCAGTACACCCAGCTCTTATCATCTGACCTCTGCATATGCACTGTTGTATACATGCATAAATATAGCTTAGTGTGTATAATTACTAAAAATAAATTAACCTCGAATAACCTTTAATCCCAGCACTTAAGAGGCAGACAGATATTTG